GTCATGATCCAATCTAAGGCCCTGTTTACACAATGCAGATTTTCTTGGAAACCACAGGTTCTTTTCTGCAGTTCGGCCGATCGTGTACACGACACCAACTGTGTTTCTCTCTGAACCCGGAGATTTCTGAATCCTGGTCTCAGAGTGGACATTTTGAGAAGCACCCAGCAGCTGTGAAAGCGCATATAAATTCAAACAACCGGCACACAGCAAAAGTTTCTTCTAAACTAACAACAATTACAATAAATTACAGACACCTGAGGGTTTTTGTGTTACTCATCCTTTGTAGCTTGTAAAAGGAAAACTCAAAGAGCATCCTAGGTCCAACGTAACATTAGCTTATTCACCAGGTTCSAAGTATCATGCAGCTGCTGCATGATCAGCACATGAGTGAGACTGGCATCAGGGTTGCCAGATTTAAAAATAAGATTTTTTTGCTCCTCTTTTGCTGTGCACATTTTCACCAAACACCACTCACCTTATCTTACAACTCTATCACATAGCATACATGTCTGAGTGAGTCATATACAGCATATCTGTTGTGTTGACTCAAAATATGATGATTTTAAGAGAACAGTAAAACACTTTACTACGTCCAATTTGGCAACTTTGCCTTATACATTACTGCAGTGGTTCCATGTAATTGGATTATTTTTTTTTTTGTATATTGATCCCAGTAAATATTAGTATTTCCAGAGACTGGTCTGGTGTAAACAGGGTCTAAAACTAGTTGATTTTCCATTTATGTTTCAAACATAGTGAGAGTTGCTAGATCAGAGAAATCAGCAAAGAATTTTCTTCTGATCCAATGATCAGAGAAACCTCTAAAACTTGCAGGAGATCGGCCTTCAAAGGGACGCTCACCTCAGGAGAGGCGGAGCCTGTTAACAGCAATGGGGTATAAAACTCACTGCTCTGTTAAGAAATTTTAAAAATTTGCTTTRTGCATTTGTCTTTGACAGCTGTCACCACTTTTATCATCTTTAAGTTTCCAAAGATGACTCAGATGATGAAGAGTTATTTCATCACTCTGGCCATTCTGTTTCTTTTGCGAGTGGAGGCAGGGGCAGAAGGAGTCTGCCAATGTCCTCTTACGATGCCTCCCTTGCAGGCTCTCTGTGAGTCAGAAGCTGGTAAGTTTAGTCAACTTTTTTAATGGGGATGTTTTGATTGTGTGCTAAATCTGTCTGTTAATGTGAGGCTCATGTTTTGTAGTAATCAAGTTATATGTCACTGGAAAGGAAGAGGTTGACAATGGAGCAATGATCAAATATAACGTTCATGCCTTCGAGGTATGGAATAAAATAAACAAATTCTGTCCTCAGATGAGCTTTTTTTAGTATATGTTTGTCTTTTGGTTCAGGTGTACAAAGGCCCTGATGGGAGAATTGATGCCGTCTACTCTCCCTTGGAGTGCACAGCTGATTTGCAGACTAATTTGGCATTGTATATTATCACAGGTAAACAATTTATGGTAAAGTATTATTTACTCCATTTTAAAGTCACTTTTTCATTCCTGCTTCTGTGTTCTGTCACTGTAGGTAGTCTGGAAGCTGATGGGACGGTGCACATCACATCCTGTAACTTCATAAAGCGGTGGGATGAGTTGAGTGACACTGAGCTGAACCTGCTTGAGAAATATCAGAACAGTTGTGGATGAACATTGAAGATCCATATTGTTTCTGAAATGGTCTCAAATAAAAACTAAAATCAAAAGGTTATTTGACTTTTTTTTCGTGAACAAGAAATCTGTATTGTGTATATTAGGGGAACGTGATATATTTATTGCAGGTTTGGTTTTAACAACTCTCCACTCAGCCAATTTGTTTTACTGACCAGTCTTGAATAATGATGAATGAAACTAAATTTATACAGCGTGTGTCTAGATATAGAATGTGAAACTCAATGATATTGACAAAATCTGTTTCTAGGTAAGATTCTTGGCTGTTAGTGACTTGAAGGTTTTGGAGGCAAAC